CAACAACAACGTGTTTCATTAGCTCGAGTATTATATAGTAATGCTGATATAGTTCTTCTTAATGATTCACTTTCAACTGTCAAGGATATGTTGGTGCTTATATTTTCAAACATGTCATAGAATCTAAAGGATTAGTAAAAGACAAAAGGTAAAAGTCTATAAATATTATTTAAAATCAAGCGTAGTTTCATTAAACTAGACTTATCTTTTGGTTACACATGGTTTATTTCATTTACATGAATGTAATCATATTATTGTTTCTCAAAATGAAATGGTGGATCATGAATCATATGATGATTAGAAGCATGATTCTACAGAGTTGTCAAAAATGTTTTGTCCGAGAGTTGAGCTCTAAAGGCAAATAATATCAACATTGAATTTTATACTGAATGAAAGTCCATCAGAAACTTTTTTTGCTATAACTGTGGTTCATGCATGTCTAGAAATTATCAATATTCGATAGAGAAAAGTCTTTATAGCACTTATTCATTCGTATGGCCAAACCTCATTTTTAACGGATTATCATGGTTTTTAGAAAATGTTGATATAATTTGTCTTTGGAGCTATAGTCCCTTAGCAAAAGATTTTCAGTAGCCCTGTATAAGTTTCTGTTCATCCAATTACTATCTTTCATTCAATACACTATCAACATCAAAACAAGTGATATTCTTAAATAAAATTTCATAGGGACATTATTTTATTTTTACCTATTTTCTGATACATTTCTTTATCATCTTTGTATTCAATCCTGCAGAAACATAACAAGGAAACAGTTTATATATTATAACAAAATGTTATTTGTTGTTTGAAACTTATCCACAAGATGCTATACATCTAGTCATAGTAGTATGGAAAATATCGGGCTATCAAATCTGCTGATAAGTGGCATTTGATACTGCACAATAACTTGAAGATGCAAATGTTCTTCCGATCGAAGAAGGAGCAAATTTACACCTTATGTATTTCAATAATCCTTTTAGATCGTATTTCACAATTTTTAATTATGCGGTCTTGATTTTTTAAAGTTTCAGAAAGAGATTGATATATGATATTAGATATGAATTAGAGCCAATTATAATCAAAATTGAAAACGAAAAGAAAAACATCATAAAAAATGAAATCGTATAAACAGGTTACGTAAGTTATTTTTTTAAAAATTCTTTAAAATAATCTTTCTTTTTGTGTACTTAAAAAGTGAGTACACTCTAGAATCGGTCAGTGTGTCCGGCCGTCCGTTTACACGATAACTCTTCACAATTATATTTGATTGAGCTGAAATTTTGTGAACAGAATTGTCTCATCAATATCTCAGTCGAGGTCGAAGATGAGAAGGATCCGTCAAGAAATGGCTGAGTTATCGAAAAAATTGTCATTATTGACCAGACCATCCCTGAATGGGGGTAAAGGGATTTTTTCAAAAAAAAAAATTTTTTTCTCAGAATTATTCACAACATATATAAATCGACTCAGTTTTTAACGGAGATTTCGAATCTGATATTAGTTTTGAACCAAATCGTAACTTTCTAACAAAACATTACCTGAAAAAGGTCTAAAAATGCACAAAAACTGCATTCAGAAAGCAAATTGCCTAGATATGTCTCAGATGACAAAAAACAAAGTGAATATAGCTTTTCACTTTTTGAAGTACCCAAAACACTGAGATTTAAATCCGAGGTTTTCCCATTTATTTAAATATTGTGATTGAATTACAAACAGGTGAAATTTAAAGTATTGTTAATTTATTTTCATTCACGTAAAGAGATGAACAGATGAAGTAAGAATAACAATAATAACAAACAATACATCATCGAAGAATCATCAGATTCATTATATGAATATTTATTCACCATTGGAAATGAATCAAAGTAGTCAAAATGAATTTCAATGATCTTTTCTATTGATTCTTTTTTCAGGTTTTCTTGCTTTTGCTATGCAATTCATTCAAAGACTAGCTGCATATATTGCTGATCGAAAATTACATTAACTTATTCAAATTGAAAATCTTTATGTATCAATGTTTTTCTTGATACAACAGCAATTGGTCATATTAGGATGCAGGTGTGGGGTATGGGTGTAGGTGTGTGCGGTGGGTGTAGATGCTTTATTTCACACTCATTCTCTATAACTTGATCACAACAAAAGCTTTTGAGCTCGAGATTTTGTGATATTAGAATCCTGCCTATTTGGTATATTTGATAAAAATTTCATCAATATTTATCGTAATTTTGTAAAACTAGAACTTATTTTATTAAAGACATGAATAACATGAAAAACCATCAGTGGATCAAGTGTTTCTCATAATTCAGTTTAGGATCAATGCATAGGTCCCAAATTTCTAGCATAGAATGACAGTATGCTGAATATGTAGATTTTATAATAGATCTAGATACTCGAATCCTGAAACAAATAATTTCATGTTCTGAATGGATAAGCAGCATGTCTATAGGCATGCGTTTATCGAAAATTAATCACGAAATTCGCAAAAATAAAACAAAAAAACAAACGATGCAATCTCTCAGTCATTGTTTTCACTCAGAGACTGCATTATGATTAAGGGTGAAGATTTACTCCCTTTCACTACTACACACGTACAATGGCTCTAATTCTCACTCTAATGTTTGTGATGACTCATCATCACTACAAAAATACTCTAAAGATTATTGAAAGATACGATCTCGATGAGTAGATAACCTTCAAGTATTGTCAATAAACGAACAAACCTCTCATCACGATAGTTTCTCAAGAGAATAGAACATTTAACACAAAAATGTGTCTATGAGTGAAAACAATGACTAAGAAAATTCATCGCTCGTTTTTTGTTTTATTTTTGCGAATTTTGTGATTATTTTTCGATAACAGTGTGCTTGTGAACATGCTGCTTATCCATTCCGAAGATGAGACTATTTGCTTGAATATTCGAGTATCTAGATCTATTATAAAATCTACATATTCATCATACTGTCATCCTATGCTAGAAGTTTAGAATCTATGTATTAATTCTAAACTGAATTAGGAACAACACTTTGCCCACTGATGGTTTTTCACGTTATCCATGTCTTTAATAAAATAAGTTCTAGTTTTACAAAATCACGATAAATATTGATGAAATTTCCATCAGATATACCAAATATACAGGACTCTGACATCAAAAAATATCGAGCTCAAGATTTTGTGATTATCAAGTCATGAAGTCTACAATGGTAATACACCGTTTGACTAATAACATTCTTGTAATTTATTCTTTCAGGATGCGGATTTCATCACTAATCTACATTTCTTGAGAATTATGTAAATTGCAGTTTTCAGTGCCACAACTGATATAGTAGCTGAGATTTGAGAAGAGAAGAATAGTTTTTGCCATTAGTGTGGATGGTCTTGATTATGATATATGCCTATAAACTAACACTGTTGCCATACAATTTGATGAAAATGCTAGAAACATCTACGAGTTTTTAAAAGATAGCTTTATGATGAAAACAAAATTTTGTCAGTGCAGCACCTTTGGAGCTGAAATGTGGAACTCACGTATATCGTTCTACGTTGTTATTATAATACATTACTAGTAAACTACAAAATACTTCTTTTTTCGAAATATTTATGAATGCATTAGAATATTGTATAGAATCTGAATCCTTCTGTGTGCAGTTGCCGAGATCTGTAATGGGGTGAGGGAAGCCGAAAAACTCTGACCGTAAAATTTGCACTTAATATTTTCTTTAAAATTATACACGAATTCCACAAAACAGTTAATATATCTAGAATGTGAGGAACCTTATATACAGGTCAAAGTAATCGTCACAGTCTGTCAGTACATTAAAAGAACATAAGCTAGAAAAGATGAAATCTATTTTCGAGTTAGGTACTTTAATATTTATGAACATTCATGTTTCACAAAACTACTGTAATAGTGCAACAAGAAGTCTTACGTAATTTTCGCAGGAATTCTGAACAAGAAATCGATTTGAATATTATAGGATTATAAAAGTGAGTACAACCTTATAACAGTGAACTGACTGACCCACTTCGGTCTGATCAATTTAGATTCTTCTTCATAACGTACAGGAAAAGATGTGAATAAGATTATTAACTGGTGACCTTTTTTTAAGATTTTCTATGGTTCCATCTTCTTTTTTCTTTGTTTTCGGCAGATCTTCAGAATGTTCAGATGCGACAAAACTTCATATCATCATCATTCATGTATTTTAGAAAAACATTACAGATAACTAGAAAATTGAAATGTTTCTGTCATTTACTCGTGGTTTTGCTTCGGGCATTATAGCAGCAATTATTGTTATACTTGTTATTTTAAATGAATCTTCATATCCCTTATTTTTCATGTCTCGCTTCACAAACACCAACCGATCTCAATCCTCAAATATGCATCGAATGGTTAATATTTCATATGATAATAATCAATTTTTTGTATTTGATGACGAATCTCCTCTTGTTCGTACATATCTAGATGTTGTTCGTGATACCGTCTGCGGTTTAACTCTGCGCACGCGTGAAAGTTCTGTTAATTTTTATAATCAAACACTTCCATTGGATATCAATCAACGAATAAAAGGTTTGGACTGGCCTCTAATTGGTATTACTATGGTTGGACAAAAACGTTTGATAAATATCGAATGGGCTTTAAGATTTGTTATTGCGAATAAAATTCCGGGTGATTTCATAGAATGTGGTGTTTGGAGAGGTGGAAGTTCAATATTTGCTCGTGCCGTTCTTAAAGCATTGAATAATAATGATAAACATGTATGGTTAGCTGATTCATTTCAAGGCTTACCGAAAGCACGAACAAAGAATGATAACGATATTTGGTCGATAATGGAATATTTGAAGGTAAGTATTTAATCTTCTATTTGGAAGAAATTATGTATTATTTGTTAGGTTTCGCTCGAAGAAGTGCAAACAAATTTTCGTTCATTCAATTTACTTGATGATCATGTTCATTTTTGTAAAGGATATTTTGTTGATTCACTTCCAAGCTGTAATATTTCTGAAATAGCAGTTCTTCGAATGGATGGGGATATGTATGAATCAACTATGGATCAATTATTTAATTTATATTCCAAATTACAAATAGGTGGTGTTATTATAATAGATGACTATGCAATTCAAGAATGTAGTCGAGCTATACATGATTTTCGGAGTTGGCATAATATAACAGATGAAATCCAATCAATACCAGATGATCAAACAGGTCGTTACTGGATAAACAGGCAAAAGATTAAAATACAACGTAATCGATATATATCACTTTTATCTTCAACAATAAAGCCTAATCAATGAACATCGAGAACGAATGCTATGTTCAAAACTGGGTTTGAAAGAAAATCATACTGAAAATATTGTGTCTTTAAATTTTAAATAAAGAAATGGAATTTTTCCGGAATAAAGAATTCGTTTTGGTTTTCAAGGATTTCTTCGTTCGAGTACTGATGGGTTTGTATATATATAGATACAGAGTAAAGTGAGCTGCCACTGTTTGCGTATGGGTGCAAACCTCAGTGCACGTATCACTGTATGAATGTAGGCAAATTTTGTTGCTCTTTCATCCACCACTGACACCTTGGGGAGAGTCATAGTCACAAGAGCAAAACTATCTTGGGTGTGGATTTGGGTGTGGGTGTGGGTGTGGATGTCGATTTATAATTGATCGAGGATACCCAACCCACACCCACACCCTTTCATAACTAAGAAGGCTTCCGAAAAAATCTATCTACATCATGTGAACTTGAAAAGTATTCTTGTCAAACAAAACGGATGAAAGTCCTAGAGAACACATTTTTGAATAGACTCGTTCGATTTTAACGGTCTTTTGGACATGATCTATATCATACTTAATACACGGATTTTATCGACATTAGATGACTGTGAATCGATGAGCTAAAAAGAAAATGAAATTGAGCCAATGTAATAAACTGAGTTGGATATATTGTAATGCACTTTTATTCATTTAAACCTCTCAAATCAGTAGAGTTTTAGAGAGAGATAGCGAAAAACAGCTCGAAATAAGATGCAATGGCATTGAGAGAATGAAAAAAATTCAGCCTTAATTTTCTTCAGCATTCATCTGTGAACGCAAGTTACCTTCATATTCCCACTCACTATGCAACCACGGTCCAGGGAAACAAACAGTGGTAACAATAATAAAAATACATTAGTGTGCGTTTGTTAATGTATATTTTTGTTGATCTTTCTCATTTATCATTGTTGCATATGGGGAAATATACCATCGCCAATTGTACTTTTCGCCAACTGGCGAATATCAACTAGCTTTTCGCCAATTGGTGAATTTCGTGGGGAATTTCGCCAATTGGCGAAAACACTATGGCGAAACAAAACGTTTATAGGCGAAACTCA